ACGTAGGACTTAGTATCTCCTACGTAGGACTTACTATCTCCTACGTAGGACTTCCTATCTCATACGTAGGACTTACTATCTCCTACGTAGGACTTAGTATCTCCTACGTAGGACTTCCTATCTCATACGTAGGACTTAGTATCTCCTACGTAGGAGAAAGAAAGTCCTACGTAGGAGATACTAAGTCCTACGTAGGAGATACTTAGACAAACAAGATTTCACCGTGGCCCTACTACGCTCCCGTACTTTCGTCTCTGATTAAACTTATATTAACGCAGATACAGATAATGCGTATCTTAAAATCAGGCGTTACATGAGGTCGAACCACTATTGAATTACAATATCTGTATCACATGATCAAGGACCAAGGACCTTTTTTTCTGACCCAGGGCGTTTCTTTCTCCGAATACACTAATACCCGTCACGTGCGATGAAAATCTACAGTGATTTCCTGTATACTAGTATACATGTAGCGATATGTAGAGAGCCATGTTGAGATATGGACAGGGATGCTGTCATATGCCATGTTTATGGCATGAAGTGAGCTATAATTATCAGTTGAATTGGTAATTGACATCATTAATCAATCGTTGGAGATACCAATGTTCAATGAACATACAGCTGTATAATACACTGTGTAATAACATCACGTGCCCATGGAAGTAGTTTTGATTAACAGCTGATAATTCCAATGGAGGAGTGGGTAGTACATTGCTACTGCACACAACGTTTACTCTGCTCTCAGGCAGATAATCTACTCGACTCGACACGACACGGTACGACACGACTCGACACAACACGACACGACACGACACAACATGACATGAGTTGTATGAAATCGCACAGCCAACAATAAATGACTGATTGACTGGATGAGTCCATCGTCCTTTGACTCCTCCCACCTACTCTGAACTAAGTTTGATATCTTAAAGCCGTCATTTCCCGTTGAGTTCAGATGTTTCTAAAACTTGGTGATGTTTGTGTTCATGCTTTTATGACGTGTTTTTAGAATCTGATTTCATACATAGGGTATCGGAGAAAGCTGCTTACAGTATTGCCATGTAGAACGTTCTGAGAACAGAACCCGATTAAATCAAGACTCAAAACTCAAGACTCTTTTATTCTGTAATAAAGGCC